CAGAAGTGGAAGAACATACCATGTTCCTGGATAGGAAGACTCAACATCGTGAAAATGTCAATTCTACCCAGAGCAATTTACACATACAATGCAATCCCAATCCAGATTCCAACAACATTCTTCAAAGAGATGGAAAAGATAGTTAGTAATTTTACATGGAAACAGACAGACCCAGGATAAGCAAAACACTGCTTAAAAGAAAGAACAAGGTTGGAGGTCTCTCACTCCCCAATTTCAAACTTTACTGCATGGCTACGGTGGTCAAAACAGCCTGGTACTGGTACAATGAAAGAGACATTGATCAATGGAATAGAATCAAAAATCCAGATTACAGCCAAATGATTTTCGACAAAGTGCCTAGACACATTGCATGGGGAAAAGACAGTCTCTTTAACAAATGGTGCTGGCAGAACTGGAAAGTGATATGTAAAAGACTGAAACCTTTGCCTCACGCCCTATACAAAATGAACTCAACATGGATTAAAGATCTAAATGTGAATCCTAAAATTAGAAGATCGTCAATGAAAAAATAGGGACGAACATGAGGGCACTAATTCAGGGCATATACAGACTGCCACACATTTTGAAAAATACACAAACAAAAATAGACAAAATAGGCGAGTGGAACATATTAAAAATTAAAAACTTGTGTGCATCGAAAGACTTCACCAAGAGAGTAAAAAGGGAACCCACAGACTGGGAAAAAATCTTTTGCAATGACATATCAGATAAGGGACTCATCTCTAAAATATATAGGAAATTCCTACACATCTACAAAAACAAGACAAATAACCCAATCAAAAAATGGGCACAGGATATGAACAGACACTTCACCAGGGAGGAGATCCAGGCAGCCAACAAACATATGAAAACTGTTCACGATCACTAGCCATTAGAGAGATACAAATCAAAACAACAATGAACTATCATCTCACACCAGCAATAACAGCAAAGATTAAAAAAGTTGAGGACAATAAATGCTGGCGGGGGTGTGGAGAGACTAGGACACTCTTGCATTGCTGGTGGGACTGGAAAATGATCCAACATCTCTGGAAAGCAATATGGTGCTTCCTCAGAAGGTTGAAAATAGAAATACCATTCAATCCAGCAATTACTCTACTTGGTATTTACCCACAAGAAAAACGAGCCATAACACGGGAAGATATATGCACACCAATGTTCATAGCTGCACTATTTACAATAGCAAAAAGATGGAGACAGACAAAATGCCCATCAACTGAAAAATAAATAAACAAGCTGTGGTACATATACACAATGGAGTATTATGTTACCTTGAAAAATAACAAGGAAGCTGCATGCCACTTCTTAACATGGATGAACCTTAAGGACATAATGTTGAGTGAAATTAGTCAGTCACAAAAGGAAAAATACTGCAAAGGACCAATAATGTAAAAGACTAAGAAAAAGAACCCATACTAATCCACTAAAGTAGATTCTTAGCTGGTGGTTGCTAGGACATAGGGGTAGGGGTAGGGGTGGGAGGGGAAAGTGGAGCACAGGGCAGGGAATAGACACAGGATAATTTGGGTATTGGGGAGGGGGGCAATATACAAGTAGGGAGAGGGGAATGGAAGAACAAAGCAAATGGGAGAACAATTAGGTATGAATGAGCTAAATGGGACAGAGGTAAAAACGGATGTAGGCACAGCCTTGGAACAACAGGGCTCTGGGATCCAAAGACTGGGACAGGGTTGGAATGGGGAAATGGGGGTAATAATGTTAAGATGCTTGGCTGTCACTTGAACCTTGTCTATCCGTGCATTATGTTATAAAACAGACACTGGAGGGGGAGAGAGGAATAACCAGAACTATCACCATAGAAAGTTTGTAAGTCCGTCTTTTGCCTATAACTGATTGGAATACCTAAAATGGGGCTAAAATGTGTCCAGTGAAGGAGGTTTCCTGAGGAGCCTCTGCATTACATAAGACTATAGGTGGAAGCCTGAACCACATCCAGACCTTCAGAGACTGGCAATTTTCCACTTGAAAGGACAAGCAGACCAGCCTGTAGCAACTAGAACACGAGAAGATACTTCTTGAAAGAAAGACCTACAGGAAAAATACAAAACAATAAGGGCAGTCCGACTGTTACCACAAGAACAAGCAAGTTGCTTGCCCAGGAGACATCAAGGCATGTGGTCGGGTCCATTCAGTGTAAATCCTCTTCCAAGGCTAAGATGCAATGGAAATACATGCTCGGATTGGCCACCACACACGTCACCCATAGGGGAAGTGACCAAAGAATATCAATGAAACGGCGAGATTAGCCCTACATCATTCAGCAGACTGCTGTGAACCCGGGTGGAGACCTGGTCGCCCAGCAGCAAGGCAAGACCTGGGTACTCATGGGCTCAGAGTCACTGACACAGCGACAGAGGACTAGAGTGGAGAGCGAAGCAGCCAGCTGATAAGAAGAGGGCAGACAGACGCAAGAACACCCACACTTGCAGATGATACCCACTTGACCTGGCTTCAATGACTGGATGAACAGAGCTGAACCCGAAGAAGAAAGAAGAGGAAAAAAGTGTCATCTGATACAATTTGATAAACTTGACCTACACCTATAAATGCAGTAGCTCAAAAGAGGAAACAAATCCCTACTGCAAGAACTATTCCCACCCCCTCCACACAAAGAGTAGAGAGGGAGGGGCAACTTGGGCATTGGCTACCCAAAATGGGGGGAAGGATACAAAGGTAAGAAGCGACTGGCTTGCAAGCTTTCAAGAGGGAACCTAGATTCAAAGGGCATGGAGGAATGTAGAGTCTCCAGTGAATAGTATCCAGCTTGTCCAGGAAGAGCTGATGAAATGAAATGCAGATGGGTCTCTTGTGATGCAATAGTGAATAATTGTTATCAGGACTGATTGTGAGGGTTGGAAATGTAAAGGTGGACATTTTATAGCAAGGAAGGGAGTGATTAACTTTTCAGTCTAGGAGCAGAGGGCCCTGGGACCATTAATGGAGAAGAGCAGAGAGCAGGACCCTACCCAGAGAAGAAGTGATGCCTGAGATGGAGGCAGAGAAGATTACGTGAAGCGATGGAGTGGCTGGGGACTTGAGATCCAGAGATGGAAAGAGGCTGTGTACTGAGGACCGGGGGTGGGGGGAATGGGGGGGCAGGCTTGCAGGGTATACCCTTTAGTTGGGTGATGTGCATGGACGGGATGGTAACTATGGCAATGAAAGGATGTATGATGGAATGAATGTAAAACTAATGTTCTCCCATGTAAACTATCACAATTCACAATAAAACATTTATTTAAAAAAAAAAAAAAGGCATTACTGGTGACAAGACATGGATTCATCACTATAAGCCTGAGAGTAAACAGCAGAGTATGGAATAGAAACATCCTCAATCGCTGACCAAGGAAAAGTTCAAAAGTCAGCCATCAGCTGGGAAATTGATGCTTATAGTTTTATGGGATTCTCAAGGGGCCAGTCTTGGAATACTTATCAGGAAAAAAGTTCAACAATCAACAGTGCTCATTACAATGAAGAGCTGAAGCCTAACTTTGGATTAAACACAGAAGATTGTTGTTCAAGTGCATTGTGATCTTGCATGACAATGAACATCTGTACACCACTTGCCCACACTGTTGACACTCTTCAAAAGCTTCGTTTTGAGGTGTTAAAGCATCCTCCCCATAGTCCTGATCTTGCTCTGACTTTCACCCTATTTGGTCCCCTGAAAGCAGCCCTTCAAGGACGAAGATTCACCTTTGATGAGGAAGTGAAAACAGCAGCACATTCATGGCTCAGCTCAGCGGAAAACATTTTAAAATAAGGGAATATGAAAGCTTGTTGACAGATGGAAATGGTGTATTGAAAAGCAAGAAGATTGTGTCAAAAAATGATGTATTGGTCTTTTCTAAAAGTTGATTAAAATAAACTCTATAGCCAGAAGGCAGATAATTTTTGACTCACCCTTGTACATATAGAGTGCATATACACATACATACACATAAACACACATTCTAGTCTTCTTTCTGGAACCATTCAGCATGTGTTTCTCTCCATGTATCTACCCTTATTGTTTCAAGACTGTATATATATCTCCATTTACGTCTATCCCTTTAGCCCTTGCATACTTCCCTGTGTATTCACCTGTCTTCATCATACTTCAGCCAACCTCCCTCATCCTGTATATTGCCCTCCCCATCACCCAAGTTAACATGTGTCTACCCTATCCAAGCCATTGTATTTTCAATAACCTCATATGGATGCGAAAGCTGGACAGTGAATAAGGAAGATCGTAGAAGAATTGATGCCTTTGAGTTG